TGAGGCTCTGTCTCAAAAAAAAAAAAAAAAAAAAAAAGACTACAGTGCCCATCACCATACTTGGCTAACTTCTTCTACCTCTTTGGAAGAGACACTGTTCTTATTCTTTTTTTTTTGTCACCCCTGGTAGAGTGCCATGGCCTCATAGCTCACGGCAACCGCAAACTCTTGGGCTCAAGTGATTCTCTTGTCTCAGCCTTCCAAGTAGCTGGAACTATAGGGGCCCACCACAGCACCTGGCTATTTTTTGTTGCAGTTGTCATTATTGTTTAGCTGGCCCGGGCCAGTTGAACCCGCCAACCTCAGTGTATGTGGCCAGTGCTGTAACCACTGTGCTACAGGTGCTGAGCCTTCATTTCTATCTTTTGTCACGGCAACGTGGGGACATGGCACTCAGTAATTCCTCATTAATTTTATCTGAATCCTTCTGACTTGATCCTGCCTATAAGCAAATGGCTTCGGGCTAAAGGCCACACCTAAGACTAACAGGTAGAAGTTCTTAGGCAACAAATTTTTGCTGAAAATAAAAATAAACCGTCTAATGAACACTCCAATGGCACAGGCAATGCAAACCCAGGATGTCCTTCCTGAGCTTCCTCATGAAGTAATAAGCTTCCCATGAGCAGAGGTGTGCAAGCACAGCCTTTTGGTAAGGATAAGCCGGGACCCAAAAGCCAACTCACCAGAGCCATCTGTGTCCACCTGGATGCCCAAGACACGGATATAGGAGCTCCGGATGCCCACACCCACCCTGTCTCGGCCCCTGTTGGAGGTCAGGCCAAACTTCTTGATGGAGTAGATGCCCATGATGGTGACCCTGTTCCCAGGGACAACCTTGTCACACAGGTATCTGAGGGCAGGGAGGAAGGAGAAAGGAAGGTTAGGCTCAAATGAGGATGACAAGTTCCTATTCCCATCCACCCCACAGCACTGTTCCAATCATTTTCCCAGCTCACAGGTCCATAGGCACCCCTGAGCACATAAAGAATCAGTCCCGGCTCGGTGCCTGTGGCTCAATCGGCTAAGGCGCCAGCCACATACACCTAAGGTGGTGGGTTCAAATCCCCAGCCCGGGCCTGCCAAACAACAATGATGGCTGCAACCAAAAAATGGCCGGGGCTGTGGCGGGCGCCTGTAGTCCCAGCTACTTGGGAGGCTGAGGCAAGAGACTCACTTGAGCCCAGGAGTTGGAGGTTGCTGTGAGATATGAAGCCATGGCACTCTACCCAGGGGGGTAGCTTGAGGCTCCGTCTCAAAAAAAAAAAAATCAGTCCCACAGCACCTAAAGAACCAGTCCTTCTCCCCAAGCACTAGCCACCCCACACCTGGGTGGCTCAGGTGCTCAAAGGATGGTGGCAAACTAACAGGAAGTTAGGTGGTGGCCTGATACTCTCCCTGAACTTCAAAATAGCCCATCTGTTAAACTGGCTGAGGGGAAGTCCTGGTGCCAGCATGTGGCGCCCTTTAGTCACATCAGGAAGGACTTCCTCCTCCTGCCCTCCAGCCTCCTTGCAGGGTCACTGCCCATTTTTGACTCTCCCTGGCTCCATGAGCTCACCCAAGTCATTTTGCCTCTAGATTTTCATTTCCTCTTTCAAAATAAGCTGTGGAAACAGAGATGTCTCTAAGTCTTTTAGTCAGTGAGGCATGGAGGGGACTCTGAGGGAACTCCAAGTCACTATACCTCTCTGAGCCTTGGAGGGAAGATAAAGCAACTGTTGCAGAACCGAGAGAGGTAGCAGACCCAGAAGTGCTTTACACCATCAAGTCACATCTCCATAAAGGACCATCAGTGTCACTGTTCATATTCTGTGAGCCTCTAGCTCCTCTCTTCCTTAACCCACTTTTTTTTTAATTCATTTCTTTATCTTTTTTTTTTCCAGATTGTTCTCTTTGCAGAGAGTTTTAGGAGCTCTATTTATTTATTTATTTTTTATTTTTACTTTTTGGCCAGGGCTGGATTTGAACCTGCCACTTCTGGCATATGGGGCTGGCACCCTACTCCTTTGAGCCACAGGCACCACCCCTTTTACCACTTCTTAAGCTTTCAGGATCACACACAGCTTTGGAAATAACAGATGCTGAATACTGCTAAACAGACATGCATTTTGTTTTTTGGAGACAAGAGTCTCACTTTGTTATCCTCAGTAGAGTGCCAAGGTGTCATACCTCACAGCAACCTCCAGCTCTTGGGCTTAGCCGATTCTCTTGCCTCGGCCTCCCAAGTATCTGGGAGTACAGGCGCCTGCCACAACGCCTGATTATTTTCTTTTAGTTGCACTTTGGCTGGGGGCCAGGTTCGAACCCACCAGCCTCGGTATATGGGGCCAGCGCCCTACTCACTGAGTCACAGGCATTGCCCCAAACATGGATTTTTAAGCAGTCCTATGAGAAATTAAGGACGGCCCATCTCCCCACTTTACTAATAAGTAAACTGAGGCTCAGCAGGCTCGTGTAACTTGCCCAAGAGACCCTACATGTTCTATAGCCCCTGATGAAGCTATGAGATCTATGGGTCTACATCTCAGAAAAACTCATGCATAGGACATCTCAATCTCAGGGTGTGCAAGCCCAGGTTAAGAACCCTTCTCCAGGCGGCGCCTGTGGCTCAAAGGAGTAGGGCACCAGCCCCATATGCCAGAGGTGGTGGGTTCAAACCCAGCCCTGGAGCCTCGGCGCCTATAGCTCAACTGGCTAAGGCACCAGCCATGTACACCTAAGGTAGTGGGTTCGAATCCCCAGCCCGGACCCGCCAAACAACAATGACGGCTGCAACCAAAAAATAGCCGGGCATTGTGGCGGGCACCTGT